GTATTTCCGCTTCTCGGAAAGGCCCGAGAAGTTGCGATTGTTGATCTGAAAGAGACAAACCAAAGCGCATTATGTACAAGCACAATAAAAAAGGTCCAGAAAACACAGATTTGTTAGGAATTTTCAAAGTCCAAGGGCTGGGGCATGTATATACTAGTATATATACGTCCCTGCTAAGGGCCATAAGAGCCCATAATTTTCGTAAAGATGGGTCAGTCAACACGAAACTCATACTTGATCTGTAAGACAACAATATCAAAAGACATACTAAAAATCAGCTCAGTAGTATCTTCAAGTATAGACATAAAAATCTGGAAAATGACGGACGGACAGGGGGTAACACTACACAAGACAAAATTGCTAAGGCAGCACCAAATAAAATTACAATGCTAATTTTCTAAAATTGTTTATGATGTTTTTGATACACAAATATGTTATCAAAGTAAAAAATGAGACATTTAATTTCCTAACTTATCAATAACTACGATGTTAACTGAAGCGTAACCATTTGTAGAAATAATGAAAATCGTGCTCATACTTTTTGGAGGAGAAATTTTTATTTTTTTTTCTTTGTGTTTGTATTCTTTATGTTTGTACTAACTAAAAACCCAGAAAAAAGTACAACTATGCCACGTTTGACCTTGGAAAAGCGTGCCTAAGCAGTTAGCTAGTATGGCGTGTGCAGGGGGTTGCTTTGGAGAAATTTGTATATAAAAAAATTAAAACAATTCATACATCATTCTTTCTTCTAGTGAAGATTAGTTACAATTAGATGAACAAATATAAAAATTGTTCACTTTAGATAGCCATGGCATTTAATAAGCACCACAGGACAATTTCAAGATTCTTCCACAAAACTGGGGCAACCGGAAGTTAGGTAGACTGGGTATGGCACCAAGGCACTGGATGAATACTAGGCAATATGATAGTCAATCGCTGTATATTTGATTTTTCACTCGGAGACTGCTTTTGTTGCAACCTCACGGACCACAATTTGTAGTTACCAACTTCATATATTTGAAAGAAACGATGCGCAGTGCATGTCGGGAAAATGGTTTTCGGGCAAGAAGGTCACAAAGTTTTTTGTCATGACACTTAGACATTTGTCAATTCCACTGTATTGGGAAAGATGGAATATTAGATATACAAGTACCGATTATGTAAATGTTCAACTCACAAACAAGAATAACAAGTGGTGCGTTAGCAATTTTGTCTAGTGTATATGATCCGGCCATTGAAAATGCAGAAAATTCAAAGTAAACGTGGAAACAACGGAAACAGTGGCTAACTATCATTACTAGGCATTTTCTGTAGCTTGCCGAAATGCAAAAACAGTGACTCTAGCTAGTCATGTTTTGTCTGCAGATTACACTCAGATGGATCACTGAAAATAAAGACTACTCCCTTGGATGCAAAAAAGTCATGTCATACCGGATTGTTTCAAGTTGAATTGTACTGTATGAAATCTGAAGGAAAAATGATTGAGAAATGATAGAATTGAAATGTTTTAATGATTTTGTTTTCTTACAAAAGAAGTGAAGATTAAAGTGAAGTGGATGCGCTCATGTGGAACAGACAGTCATATTGAGACATTACCAGCTTTTTATTAAAATACATGTGCATGATTCTGTAAATGTTAAACTGAAAAAAGATGCACGCGTGTTTCAAACTTCCTTCATGTCTCTCTTAGCATAAACATTATAGAGCTTCAGTCTTATCATGCAGTCATTTTGGTTTTCATTGTACAATGTAGATGGAATTACATGTATAAGTTTTGAGATCGATCGGAAGTACATGTATACACGTCACCTTAGATTTCTGTAAACATGATCTAAATTGTACATAATTAAATAATTTATCAGGAAGAAATGCATTTTAAAGTCCAGTTAACTTCTTTTTGCAGATACACAGAGACTATACGTATCCATGACTTGCATGTTTTTTTGTTGTTGTTGTTGTTTTTTTTTTGTTTTTTTTTGTTTGTTTGTTTGTTTTTTTTGCTTTTTTGTTGTTTTTTTTTTTTTTAGATTTTATTAAATTAAGAGATTGAGAAGAAATATTTCAATTGATCGTTTGGTTTTGCATACAAATATATGTTTCTTCAACTCTTCAGGGTCAAATGTTCTTCCTGACAGGTTGTTAAAGTCTTCATCCGGGAAAAAAATTGCTGTCACAATAATTCATTTAGTACATTGTTTTGAAAATAAGAAATGGGTGTCCTTAATATGTTAACTGCATCGGATACAATCGTGTGCTGCTGCTGCTGTCTGCTATAGATAAGAAAAATCCTCATTCAATACGTGTGTTCTGCAAGGATTAACACCGAGGTCTACAAGTATACGGTTATGAAGGTAATATAAGCGAAGACAATTTTTCTTTATTTTTTGTACTGTTTCACAGGAAGGTTGGAATTTATTCAAAAACTTCTACACGAGAAGAAGAAAACACTTGCTGTGGCCTTCAACTCGACATTTCGATATATCGACGACGTATTATCAATTAACAACAATTACTTTCATTCATATGTTGACTCAATATATCCCAGTGAAGATACCACAGAGTCTTTACCACAGAGTCTGACACATCTGTTTCATATTTAGATATTTTACTAGAAAAAGACGTTAATGGTAACCTAACAACAAAGCTTTATGATAAACGTGATGACTTCAACTTTTCAATCGTCACCTTCCTTACTTATGTAGCAATATACCCTTATCACCTGCATCTCTCGATACACAAGAGCATGCTCTACCTATGAACAATTTCTAAAACGAGGTAAGCTATTGACAAACAAGTTGATGAAACAAGGATATCAACAGTCTCGTTTGATGTCATCTTTTCGCAAGTTTTACGGTCGATACAATGATCTTGTCAGCACGTACAACTTATCATTGAGTCAAATGCTGACTGATGTTTTTCATACTAATTGTTAGGCCATTATTTATATACTGAACTGTCTATGGGTTTTTCCGTTTTTTCCCGATCATGTCAAGGAGCACACGGCGGGGCAGGGGATGCTCACTCCTCCACTGGCACCTGATCCCACCTCTAAATTTTGAGGTCCATGTTTGCTCTGCTCCAAATTTGTATCTTTTCATTGGACTTTCCAGATTGAATACTGTTCGTTATCTTCATCTTTTCATACAGATGACAATTAAGAGAAAAACAAATTCCTGAAATACAAGTATACATGTATTCTAATTTTGATAAAACATTATAGTTTTTGGAATGAATGAAGATAAAGAGCTACAAAATATTTTCCTCGTCTCTATTTATAAACAGGCATGCAGTATTCGGGGGAGGGGGGGGGTCTGCCCTCCTTTTCCGAACATACCCCCCCCCCCAAAAAAAAAACCACACATACGTTCGAAAAACGATACTACGTGCCTGATATATATACACAAAGATGTTCACTGAAGGACTTGAACTCATCATGAACAACAAGAACACTCACGGCTAGCTTGTTAATCAATAAAAATAATTTTTGGTGATTGAGTTTTAGATGAAATATTTTTCAAGCTACAAAAATAATGTATTCAGATGTCCGCACCTTACAAAATGCAGTATAATTTTTGTCAATAGTGCCGCATTTTTTAAAAGATTATAGTCACAAATGAAGAATCAGTGTATGAAATCCAAGATGCTCTCCTTAATTATTACCACTTCGGATTACATTGTACATTATACCAAAGTTTTTATTTATTTTATCCAAAATCTAACATCTAGCGGCTTGACAAGCTTTCCGTTAAATACAGTTACATGTAATATCTATCACCTGGCTGCTAAGTTAAGCTTACAGTCAACTCTCTACCATCGACTTATCAGTGATAGAAATAAACAACAGTTCTGCAAAGGAGACTTGCTACAATCTTGAACACAACCATCAAATAACCTACTTTCACGTAAAAGTAACGGCACATACAGAGAGAGATTTCATATTTACGAAATTTTGATTAATCTACATGTATAAAATAGTATCAAATACAGATATTAAAACATTTTACTAATCCTTTGTATAGGCATTTTATGTTAAAAATCTGTTGCAACTTGCAAGGGCAGATCCAGGAATTTTTTCCCAAGGGGAAAGGGGGGGGGGGCTTTCACACAAACTAACACCTATCTTACTTCTAAGGGCAGCTCACTCTAACTGCATAAAACTACCCCATTCGGCAAACCTCGGCTGATTCCGTCACCTTCATCACAGAGGTACGAATCGACCGAGGTGTGCCGAGTGAACCCTTACAGAATTGCAGCAGATACTGCAAATGCAGTATTTGCTGCTATAGCGCTGCAATTGTACTTAATGTCTACTGCAAAAATGAAGTATATTTGCAGTACTTATTAGCATAATGTACTGCGCAGCAGTATATTCTAATAATCTACTGTAAATATACTGAAAATGTGCTGCAAAAACTTTTCGTATTTTCTTTTCAGTGACACAAAATTTCATATGCTGCTTTTGTACTGCAAATAAGCTGCATTTCTACTGCATTATCTTTATTATTGAGATACTGGTATTAAAGGTATACTGCATTTCTGCTGCATTATCATTATCATTCACAAGTCTGTCATAGGTGTACTGCATTTGTACTGCATTATCTTTATCAGTTAGATACTGGTATTGATGGTACTGCATTTGTACTGCATTATCTTTATCATAATTAGATATATGTACTGGCATCAAAGGTACTGCATTTGTACTGCAATATCTTTATCACTTAGATTCTGAAGGTATACCATATTTTGCCAATATATTAATTGGCTGTATTTGCATTATCTTAATAACTGTGAAAAAATGCAGCAATAATTAAAATGTTTATTACAGCTGTTTTAATGGTGACTTTTTAATAAGATATATTATATGATGTCTTAAAAACATCTGCATGAAATTTGAGACCAAGTTAAATACCAGGTGTTCAAAGGGATTTGTGGGAAATGCAAAATACATGTGTAAAAAAACTATTTGTTCTGACATTGAAAATATACTAATAGACATGATGTTTCAATATTAATGTATCTTTTATTATATCATTTTCAATAATACTTGGATAAAATTCTACATAGTTTTTCTTATCAATATTCATGTACATAAAAGGTTCCTCAATATATATCCTCTATATGCTAGCATAATATTTGGTACCCCAATGGACACTTAATTGACATACATTTGTACTACATTTTGTACATGAGCTTCATGACAGTTTGTGGTAAATGCTAGTAAGTACAGTGTATACAAAAACTCTTAGTCTGACATTGAAACAATCAATGGACAACTAAATATATTAATCTTTTTCAATAAGATTTGGGAAAAATGCCACCTGCTTTTTTCTCTCATCAATATCTATGTACATGACAGGTTCCTCGAGATCATCTACAAGTATTACATTTGTTAAACCAATGGACACTTGACAAACATTTGTACAAGATTTCTGTACATTAAGTATTCTAGTAACAGCAACATATGTGTATCCATTTTCAGTTGCACACTGTAAAAAATATCTAATCTGACAAATACCACTCTTGTTCTTACATGTATAGGAGTTTCTTTTTTTCACAGGCTTGTACTCCTCACTATAATACATTATCTTATTGTGTAAAACTCTGTAGAAGATATGATATTCAGCAACATTTCCAAACTTATTTTCCAGTAATTGTGTAACATGTTCCTCAGGCAAAAAGGCCTTTATAGAGCCAACCACAAAAGTTTTAAGTCCAATACATATCCTAGTAAATGACTGTTGCAAAGATGACTGCATCTTTTGATAAAAAGACTTCACAGAACCTATTTCTAATTTGTCAACAAGTTCAGGAATTTTATTTTGAATGCATACAGCAGTTACAATTTGGAGATCAATTTTTTGTGTACCATGGAAAAGATTTCTAAGATCACCATTCAATCCTTCATAAAAAAAACAAGACTGGGACCAAAGTGGTCCCAAATCTTCGACTTTTGAACACAAGTGTAAAAGACAATGAACATTAAATGTAGCGTAACGCTCCGTATAAAGTTCTTCTATACCAATACAAAATCTTTTGAAACAACATCTCGCTAATTTCAGATCAGTCTGTGAAATTGAAGTCTTTAAAAGTAAGAAAGTGCCAAGTACTAAATTACAAAAATGATCATTAAATTTTGAAGGGAGTACATCTTCCAAAAGGGGTACAGAGTAATAAAGAAGAAATGTTCTAAATTCAGATGCTTTCCAGTCACCATACTCATCAATTTTTTTTGGTAGGCGTGAAATCAAACAATGTGGTCTTAGTTTTTTGATTCTATCATTAAGTACATCAATATGGCTTCTAAGAGACCATTGCTCATTTTTGTGATCTTGATCAATCCAAAGCCCTAGGATCATCTTAACAACACCAAGCAAAACACAGTGCATATAATCTATGCCAGTACCTTTGATTAAATCAAACTTTGGAAATGACATCAAAAAGGATATTCCTTTGACTCCCATTTCTGGCACAGGATCTCGTCTTCTTCCACTCAAATATTCCGTTTCTACTCGATGCGCTGTAGCTTTGGTTTCCTCCATTGTCCTTAACTCGTCATGGCCTTCATTACTTTCTGACTTGTAGGGGTATATATGCGAGTTCCCTGTTGCCGATATTGCAAATGTTTCTCCAGGAGATAGACAACAAGGACACCCATAATTACCATTAAACTGGACAAAATCCATCATTAAACATCTCGCTGGTGCATCAGCTGTGCAGCTAAGAAGAATGGCTTTAACTGTTAACTGTTCTTCTTTAATACTCATGGGAATGCCTGAAAATATTTAAAAATATTCATATTTACTGATATATGAAATTTTGAACAACATATTTATGGAATGGAATTGCAATGCATATTTTGGGGGGATTTTTACTGTTTACGGTAGCTCAGTCGGTAGAGCGCTCGCTCCGTGATCGGGAGGTTGTGAGTTCAAATCTTGGCCGCGACTGACCTAAGTCAATAAAAAATGGGTAGCAACTGTTCCTTCGCCATGCGCTCGGCACTTTGAAGTGAAAGATGCGGGTCCTTCGGATAAGACCCTAAAAACCGAGGTCCCGCGTCACCGCAGGCATTGGCACGATAAAGATCCCCCATGCTCAATGGCCCTGAGTGCCGAGTAAAGGTCAAAATTTGAAGCCCTTCACCGGTGTATGGTGACGTCTCTATATGAATGAAAAATTCTTGAATGAGACGTAAAACAACATACAATCAATCAATCAATTAAAAGGTTTTGTTACATATTGATTTATTTGTTTGAACAGAAGATTTCTCTTTTTTTCTCAAAGTCCAAGAGACATATTCATAACTCTGTTAAAAATCATTAGATCGGAACCAAGTTCAAATTTGACCTGAATGCATTATCAACTTTATATATATATACATCCCTTCAGCGGAAACTAAAAATATCTTCAGGACGGAATGATGGAACAGGGTAACAGTTTACATCATATGCACCCCTGCAATTTCATGGCAGGGGCATAAAATATAACATACACACCTGTAAAAAGCAAATTGAATTCTTTCAAAAAGGATCCAAAAAGTAGTTTCATATTTGGTTTCTGAGTTCCAAATCATAGTCCTAAGAAGATACGGTTTTCTCTTGTGAATCTAGCAATAAATTTTAGAGAAAATAGTGTTAAGTTGTTAACAGTAGAGTTATTTACAGTAAAGCTCGGTTATAACGAAGTCATAGGGACCAATGGTTTTACTTCGCTATCTCCAAAAAACTTCGTTATATCGAGATATCACTATATCTCTGTTCATTATAAACGAGTTTAACTGTATGTTTATCATTGAATTAAGTTTTACTGTATGTTTATCATTGAATGTTAAGAGTACCGTAATTTCCGAATTCATATAATTAATCAAATTGTAACTGGTACCTTGCATCAGGTGGCAATTCATTGATAACTGCATACACAGGCCAAACACCAAATTTAGATGACTTGAACACAGCAACTCCATCAGTGTTAATTTGAAAAGAAAGGTGCAATTGAAGATTCCTCTCTTCCTTGGTTGTTCCATGGAAAAAACCACTACTATCAAAATGAGTTTTGTATACATTTCCATTGTAGACATCTTCAATAATGGATGTGTTCCCAAGTTCACTCCTTTCAATTTTGCTTTTTCTTATAATGTCAAGAACGCCTGGTCCTAAAAAATACATCATACAATATAAAATGAAATCATCAATATATTTGTTGGATATACATTAAAGTGAATTTTACATTGTTACATTTTTTTTGCCATGGAGGGAATTTTGTGGATTGACAACTATCTATTGTATGTAGTATTAAATATGGCGTATGTATTTACCAATACTTTTATTAAATTTTACAGTATTAAAGTTTGATTTTATTTCTAATTCTTTCACATGCATGTCAGTGCAGGGCCCCAAAACAGTCCTTCATGATATTAACACATGGCCAAAATTTTTATTATATCATTGATAATCACTGCAATAAAATTTATGGTTAAACGCTAGTTACATCTTACTTGCAAGCTAGAATGATAAAATAAGTCTAAAATGAAAATGACTCACTTTTCAAAATTGTTTCCATTTGGTCCTTTAGGGGTATGGTGATGAAATATTTTATGCTAGTCAATGAACAGTTTGGACATTTTTCATATTTTGCATCCTTTTCAATGCTGAGGAAGCACTTTTCACAAAAATAGTTGTATATTAGAGGCGTTTTCAAATGCCTAAAAAAGTCTTGGTACATTGTAAGGGTTGCCCTGCATATATTATCTGGAGGACAATGCACTTCAATAAGATTTAATAAATCACAAAGGGCAACTCCTGATAAGTTGTGTCTTGTAGCAAATGTTACAATCAGCAGCATACTCATGCTAACAGTAAGCCTGCTTCCTTGATATATAGGTTCATTGTCAATATTTCTCTGATTATCACTACTTTTTTGGTCTAACTTCTGTTTTTCTTCCTCCAGCATTTCTTCCACCATTATGTCAAATTCATTTGGAACTTCATCATTGTAATCGGTTAATTCTTCAATTGTTTCTGAAACTAAAGTAAATAGTAATACATTATTGTAATGGGATGAGGTGGATAAAATAAAATAGAAAAAGTTGATGCTATAATTATTATTATTAAATGTTAAATAAAATAATTCATCATCAAATTTATAACACTGTTTTCATTACTATATTTTTTTTCTTTGGTAAAGTTCTTAGAATTGTAAAGTAAGCTGCACATATTAAAATTTTTCTTACTCTAATGTTATTTTTAAAATAATTTATAGTTATTCAGGTTCATTGTATTTCAAAACTGGCTTCATGACTGGTGTATATAAAATTATAAATCACTTATGAACTGCATTATACCCATCATTTGATTAAAATTTTGGGAAGGAAGGTTGTACACAATAAATTTGCCGTCGTAGTTCCACTCGTTAATTTCATCAACGGACACCCTTTTTCATTATTATTTACAATACCAATAGAGTGACTCCCCTTTCCAAATGTATGCACGTAATTAATTAATCAATAAAATTTATACAGATTCAGAACCGTTTTACTACCAAAACAAGAGACCCATGGGCCACAACGCTCACCTGAGTCAATATGGCCCTGCTGTTCTTTGTCAGCAGATTTCTTCTTCTATATATTCATACGTAAAGCTTTGATCAACTGTTCTAGGCATAACCTATCCCCATTTGCCATGTTTTGAATGAAATTAAATCTAAACTTTCTGAGGATGCTTCTATATTCATATAACTAATCATGGTTTTGCTGTTCTTGAAACAGAATTTTAAAGATGTCTGCCATCCTACCCTGGGGGGAAGGAAGGGAGGGGGGGTTCAAGATTTGAACAAACTTGAATATACACTACCTAAGGATGCTTCCATATCAATATGACTAATTATGGCTTTGTTGTTCTTGAGAAGAAGATTTTTTAAGATATTTCTTATATATATTCTTTTGTTAAACTTTGATCCCCGATTATGGCCCCACCCTACTACTGGAGGATGCCTTGAACAAACTTGAATCTACAATACTTGGGGATGCTTCAATATCAAAATGACTAATCACGGCTTTCCTGTTCTTGAAAAGATTTTAAAAGATTTTTCCTATTTATTCCTATGTAAAACTTTGATCCCCTATTGTGGACCCACCCTACCCCCGGGGGTCTTGATTTCGACAAATTTGAATCTACACTACCTAAGGATGATTCCATATCAATATGACTAATTGTGGCTTTGTTGTTCTTGAGAAGAAAATTTTTAAAGAATTTTCCTATATATTCCTATGTAAAACTTTGATCCCCTATTGTGGCCCCACCCTACCCCCGGGGGTCATGATTTGAACAAACTTGAATCTACATTACCTGAGGATGATTTCATATCAAAATGACTAATTGTGGCTTTGTTGTTCTTGAGAAAAAGATTTTTAAAGAATTTTCCTATATATTCCTATGTAAAACTTTGATCCCCTATTGTGGCCCCACCCTACCCCCGGGGGTCATGATTTGAACAAACTTGAATCTACATTACCTGAGGATGATTCCATATCAATATGACTAATTGTGGCTTTGTTGTTCTTGAGAAAAAGATTTTTAAAGAATTTTCCTATATATTCCTATGTAAAACTTTGATCCCCTATTGTGGCCCCACCCTACCCCCGGGGGTTATGATTTGAACAAACTTAAATCTACACTACCTGAGGATGATTTCATATCAATATGACTAATTGTGGCTTTGTTGTTCTTGAGAAGAAGATTTTTAAAGAATTTTCCTATGTATTCCTATGTAAAACTTTGATCCCCCATTGTGGCCCCACCCTACCCCCGGGGGTCATGATTTGAACAAACTTGAATCTACATTACCTGAGGATGATTTCATATCAATATGACTAATTGTGGCTTTGTTGTTCTTGAGAAGAAGATTTTTAAAGAATTTTCCTATGTATTCCTATGTAAAACTTTGATCCCCCATTGTGGCCCCACCCTACCCTCGGGGGTCATGATTTGAACAAACTTAAATCTACACTACCTGAGGATGATTTCATATCAACATGACAAATCATGGCTTTGCTGTTCTTGAGAAGAAGATTTTTAAAGAATTTTCCTATGTATTCCTATGTAAAACTTTGATCCCCCATTGTGGCCTCACCCTACCCCCGGGGGTCATGATTTGAACAAACTTAAATCTACACTACCTGAGGATGATTTCATATCAATATGACAAATCATGGCTTTGCTGTTCTTGAGAAGAAGATTTTTAAAGAATTTTCCTATATATTCCTATGTAAAACTTTGATCCCCCATTGTGGCCCCACCCTACCCCCGGGGGTCATGATTTGAACAAACTTGAATCTACATTACCTGAGGATGATTCCATATCAAAATGACTAATTGTGGCTTTGTTGTTCTTGAGAAAAAGATTTTTAAAGAATTTTCCTATATATTCCTATGTAAAACTTTGATCCCCCATTGTGGCCCCACCCTACCCTCGGGGGTCATGATTTGAACAAACTTAAATCTACACTACCTGAGGATGATTTCATATCAATATGACAAATCATGGCTTTGCTGTTCTTGAGAAGAAGATTTTTAAAGAATTTTCCTATGTATTCCTATGTAAAACTTTGATCCCCCATTGTGGCCCCACCCTACCCTCGGGGGTCATGATTTGAACAAACTTAAATCTACACTACCTGAGGATGATTTCATATCAATATGACAAATCATGGCTTTGCTGTTCTTGAGAAGAAGATTTTTAAAGAATTTTCCTATGTATTCCTATGTAAAACTTTGATCCCCCATTGTGGCCCCACCCTACCCCCGGGGGTCATGATTTGAACAAACTTGAATCTACATTACCTGAGGATGATTTCATATCAATATGACTAATTGTGGCTTTGTTGTTCTTGAGAAGAAGATTTTTAAAGAATTTTCCTATGTATTCCTATGTAAAACTTTGATCCCCCATTGTGGCCCCACCCTACCCTCGGGGGTCATGATTTGAACAAACTTAAATCTACACTACCTGAGGATGATTTCATATCAACATGACAAATCATGGCTTTGCTGTTCTTGAGAAGAAGATTTTTAAAGAATTTTCCTATGTATTCCTATGTAAAACTTTGATCCCCCATTGTGGCCCCACCCTACCCTCGGGGGTCATGATTTGAACAAACTTAAATCTACACTACCTGAGGATGATTTCATATCAATATGACAAATCATGGCTTTGCTGTTCTTGAGAAGAAGATTTTTAAAGAATTTTCCTATATATTCCTATGTAAAACTTTGATCCCCCATTGTGGCCCCACCCTACCCCCGGGGGTCATGATTTGAACAAACTTGAATCTACATTACCTGAGGATGATTCCATATCAAAATGACTAATTGTGGCTTTGTTGTTCTTGAGAAAAAGATTTTTAAAGAATTTTCCTATATATTCCTATGTAAAACTTTGATCCCCCATTGTGGCCCCACCCTACCCTCGGGGGTCATGATTTGAACAAACTTAAATCTACACTACCTGAGGATGATTTCATATCAATATGACAAATCATGGCTTTGCTGTTCTTGAGAAGAAGATTT